AATATGTTTCCCAAATGTTTAATCAATTCCTTCTTTTTGGACTCTTTGCCAAAAACGGACGGCATTTCCTTTCGTAATGAACTAATGATATACGCGTGAACCTAACCGTACGGATCAACACATTGTTTTATTCACGCCTTTTAGTTAACATTTAGTTAGCAATTGATAATACCTTCGCAAGTCGTGCCCTTTTAATTAAATCGTTCAGTTTTCTAAGCGCAGCATTACGTGGAAGGCTTGTAATATCACCGAACAGGTCCTGTTCTTCGGCTTCAAACAGTTTGCGATTGTAGTCATATCTGAGCGGTTGGTCCCAAAAGGAGCCGATGTAAACGCGGGCCACTTCTGGTGTGTTCAGCACTTTGCCCAACGACCACATGAGAGCGCCGTAGACTCGCATGAGTTGCTGCTGGTCTATCATATCGGCTTTGTTTAACACAATCCGGATCTTGTCGTCGTGTCCGCGAAGAGCTTCTATAGAGCGGCGGAATTCGTCCGAAATGTCCAGTTTGTGGGCATCGAAGAGGAGGACAATGCGATCGACGCGTTCGGCGAACCACTCCAAGACACCGGTGAACTCATAGCCGCGATCCACTCTCTGCTTCTCACCGGACAATATGCCCGGAGTGTCCACTATTGTGATGCTCTCCAACACCGGAGAGTTGAGTTGCGAACACTGCAGACGGTTGAGGAAAGCGTTGCCAAACTTGGCCAGCGGTCGGAACTGTCTCTTCGGGTCCACCACCAGAGCGTTGCCGGGAATCACGCCTTCGTTGTCGTTGTGCATAACGGCGATGAAGCGATCGGTGGTCGGCTCGGGTCCGATCCGAATGCCGGGAAAGTCCCGCTCGAGTAAGTACTTAATGAATGTCGTCTTTCCCGTCGAGTATTGGCCGACGAGAAGGACCATCGGTTTGGCGTCAAAGTCCGCGTCTTCTAATGGCGGCGAATGGAACTCATGGAACAGATAGTGCTCTTCCAGCGGAAGAATCTTCGACTTATAGATCCGTTTGAGTCCTTCCACAACATTGATGAAGAGCTCCGGTTGTCGTTTGCGGTCATTACTAGCGCTGAGCCAACTGAACATTATGTCGATTATGTGACCACTAATCCAACGATCACTCAATCACTTAATCCCACAATTAATTCAACTAATTATACGAAACGACTAATGAATGACAAACCGATGTCTCACTGATTGAGTCAATACAAGTCACTACTAGTCATGCAATACTCAACACTCAATACTCCCTAACATTCCCTTACTTTCAAAAACAAGTAAACTGTGAAAAGTGTCACTCAATTGAGTCAATCACTCAATCGCTTGACGTAACACTTATTTGGTTCACACAATCAATATGTCCTTTAATTCACACGTTATTTATTCAATACCTTTAAATTTGAATTGTTTTCAAAACTTAGCGTTCATTACAAACACAACACGTGTTTTGATCGCAATTTATAAATTGTTTTCAATAATTAAATGATAGTTTATTTCCAGCGATTATCTCGTGATAAGCTGTGTATGGGTTGAGAGGGCCCTCCTTTTGGTCCCCTTAACGCAAACCTCTTTAATATTTCAATTTCTGGATTAAAGTGAACACAAATTTGTGGAAATTTTAAATTTTAGTCATTTTGAAGATTAATTGATTGAATAATAAGACAATTGAATTGAAGGCAGAAATGGAGGAAATGAGAAGATATGCCACAATTGGTGAACACGAGATCAATAATGTAATTGAATTGCCATTACTTTACACTTTCGGTACAACTAATTGTAAATGATTTGTTTGATTTGTTTGATCCCAAGACCACAACCACTGACTTTCCATCTAATTATCGAGGATTTGATGACAAATGGGATTTCAATCGTTTTGTCAAAGTTTGTCATTTAATGAGTTTTATATCAATTGTTCATAAATTCAGTGATTAATTACTTAAAGGATCTGAAGATTGAGATAATCCGTAGCGAAGAGAATGAGATGGAGTTTGATTTAATAGGAGTGGACTGTTCTCTGGCCAATGCCTTCAGGAGAATACTTATAGCGGAAGTGCCGACAATGGCTATCGAGAAAGTCTTCATTAACAACAACACCAGTCTATTGCAGGACGAGTTCTTAGCGCACAGACTGGGACTCATTCCCATCAAAGCTGATCCGCGATTCTTTGAATACAGACAAGAAGGTAAACTCTGATCTATGCTTTAATTCCTCTTCACAACACTTGGATCTACTTATAGGTGATACAAAGGGTACGCCTCAGGACACGATTGTCTTCAATCTTTGCGTCAAATGTGTTAAAAACAAGAGCGCGACGTCTG